CTCCTGCACTTACTACAAAGCCTAAGAAAACAATCTCGTTAGTGCAGAATGAACATTTAGATAAATTAGCAAAGAGAGATTGAGAGCGAAGAACATCAAGAACCGATCTGATGTGATCTAGATGTTCTTCCAAACCTTTACTGTAGATGAGGATATCGTCGAAATAAACCACTACGAACACGCCAATGAATGGTCTCAGGGCATGGTTCATTAGTCTCATGAAGGTGCTGGGAGCATTGGTGAGGCCAAACGGCATAACTAGCCACTCGTAGAGTCCCTGCTTTGTCTTGAATGCCGTTTTCCACTCGTCCCCTTCCTTCATTCTGATCTGATGATATCCACTCTTCAAGTCGATCTTAGAGAAGATTGTCGACCCACAGAGCTCATCCAGCATATCATCTAGCCTTGGGATCGGATGCCGATACTTCACAGTAATGTTATTGATAGCTCGGCAGTCTACACACATCCTCCAGGAACCATCCTCCTTTGGCACCAACAGAACTGGAACCGCACATGGACTCAAGCTTTCTCGGATATGGCCTTTGCTCATCAGCTCCTCCACTTGCTTTTGCAGTTCCTTAGTCTCTACAGGGTTGGTTCGGTATGCTGGCCTGTTAGGTAAGGCTCATCCTGGTACCAAGTCAATCTGATGCTCTATCCCGCGAATTGGAGGTAGCCCTGGTGGAATTTCTACTGGAAAAACGTCCTTGTATTCCTGCAAAATCTCAAACATAGCACTAGGAAGCTCCTGTGAAGGGTTAGTACTAACAAGGGATTCCTTGTACACAAACATAAAAGTAGTCATCTCAGGATCAAAGAGTTTAGAAAATTCACTGTGGTTTATGTAGAGGCTGTTGGCGACTTTCTCCTTCTCCTTGAGCTTCATTTGAACTTGATCTTGATAAATCTCGGTAGGCGTGAGAGGTAGGAGGGTAATTTTGCGACCTTTGAACTCAAATGAGTGCTTGTTGGTGTAACCGTCGTGTATCACCCTACGATCTGATTGCCACGGTCTGCCTAGCAACACATGACTCGAACCCATGGGAATGACGTCACATAGAATCTCATCTTCATACTTCCCAATGGATAGAGAAACCATCACTTGCTGAGATACGGTCAAGGCTCCACTGTCATTCAACCACTGAAGCTTATACGGCCTTGGATGAGGAATAGTCTTGAGCTGGAGCTTCTTAACCATCTCTTCGCTTGCAGCATTAGTACAACTTCCTCCATCTATGATCAGGCTACAAACTTTTCTTTGAATGAAGCATCTCGTATGGAACAGGTTCTCTCGCTGACAAGTCTCTTCAGGTTGACTCTGAACACTCAAAGTCCTTCTGGCAACCAGCATCTCGCCCACAACAGCAGCTTCTTCCTCTTCCTCTAATTCATATTCGGCCTCTGAATCCTCTTGAGGAACTATCTCTCCTCCCTCATGTAACAAGAAAACCTTCTTGTTTGGACAATCTCGAGAGTAATGTCCCATTCCTTGACATTTGAAACACCTCACATTGCTGATAGAAGTGCCACCTCGAGGCTTGAACTCAGCTTTAGCTTCTTCTTTAACTCCAGTAGATGGCGGTTTGATGTCTCTGGAGTAAGCTGGCTTGCTGATCTCCTTAGGCTTAGGCACACTAGGCGTGAACGTGGACTTGAAATTTCGCCTCTTGACTTGAGATTCCACCAATTCAGCCTTATGCACCATCTCTTGTATATCTGCGAAATCCTGAAGTTCCACCTTGTCTTGAATTTCTCGGTTAAGTCCTCCAAGAAATCTCGACATTACCATCTCTTCGCCTTCTCGTAAATCTGCACGAATGAGCAAAGTTTCCAATTCTTGATAATAATCTCGAACAGACTTCGTACCTTGGACGAGGCGCCTAAGCTTGTTGAGTATCTCGTGCTGATGATGGGCCGGAACGAACCGCTTCCTCATCTGTATAACGAGCTGATCCCAAGTAGTAATCGGAAGTTCCCTCAAGCGATTTCTGGTGACTCCCAACTGCTCCCACCATAGAAGCGCATACCCATGAAATTCTGAAACTGCAATCTTCACCTTGTTGAGCTCGTAAGTTCCTTGGACCAGAAAATTAGACTCCATCTTCCTTTCCCAATCTAGATAAGCTTCAGGATCATTAGTTCCATGGAAAGGAGGATACTGGATTTTGATATGACGCAGCTGCTGTCGTAGAGGATCATAATCTCGACCATGTCCTCGGCCTCGATCTCATCTCACAGTTTCTCTGCTATGATCAGAAGCTTCGTCCTCCTCATAGTATTCTGGGTCTGATTCCAGGGTAACTCGATGCCCAGCAATATATTCCTCTCGGCGGTGCTGACGATCTACCCTTGGGCCATCTCGTTCTGCACCAGTAGGATTCCTCCTCGGATTAAACGTAGTCTCTCTGCCCCCAATTTGGCTTCGGTTGGACTTAGCTTTAGTCCTGGCTTCGGAAGGTGTTGGGTGGCGTGGAAGTTTCCGGGAAGATCCTATGTGCCCTTTACCCTTTGCTAGTCGCATTGCTTCCTAAGGAGTTGGAGTTTGAGACGACTCTTCTCCACTTGCACTGAGATCTTTGAGCAGATCACTCATCTTGGTCTCGAACTTGTCGTTGAGTTGTTCGATTTGTTGGGTGAGCTGAGTTGTTATGGCTTGATTCGCTTCTTTGATTTGTTGAGACATTGCTCGGTTCAGAGCTTCCATTGTCTCAGCCGAAAGCTCCATGGTACCTGAAAAAATTTAAAACAAAAACTCGCAGTAACTTGTTCTAGAAGAAATCACAAAACAGCAAAACTAAACTCATCATAAAAATTAACCGATCTCCACGAAATCTAAAACAAACTCAAAGAAACTAATGAATTTAACGAAATTTTTTTTTTTTTTTTTTTTAGTCTACCCTAAAAAACGAAAATATGAAGTCTCTTAGCAAATCTAAACGAAAACGAAATAACAAATTATCACCTATTGAAATCAAAAACAGACGAAACCCTAGACTCGATACGATGAAGACTCGACCTGAACAAACTTGAGACAAACACGATAGCAAACCGACTAACCCTAACAATAGCAAACGAACTCGCTAACGATACGAAGCAATAACGATACAATATTCAAAAGGGAACAGATCGATGCAGACAAATCAAACTCGCTAAGCCCTAACAATCAAAACACGAATTCAAATCAAAAATCGCGATTAGGGTTAGAGATTGCTCAGCCTTTGGTTCAGAGTTGGCTCTGATACCACGTGATACGATCCAAGGTGATCTACTCTGAGGAAAAGGCTGTAGATGCTGCGATTTTATGGACAGATCACAACGATGAAGTGATGGGGTGGTGATGGCCGATGCGATGGCGAGTGATGGTGGAGGGATGAATTCGATGGATATGGTGGTGGTAGTGTGATAATCGAATTGATGATGATGAAGGATAGAATAATCTCTTGTAAACAGATTAGTTTTAAGAGATTCGAATTTCAGAGTTTTTAGTTCTCAGAAATCAAAGAGAGAAGAACACGTTAAAAGTTTGATCAAAATTCTTCACTGAATATGACATAGGCGATTTTCTCTCTTAAATAGACTTAGAGAGAAATCGCAGCCCTAAGAAACAAACTACATGAAGTCTGAAATAAAAACAACAAGAAGTTTGATTTAAAAAAATAAAACAGCGAGGCGTCCCTAAATTCCTAAGTGGTGCGCCAAAATACTAAGTGCACAAGTCATTGTGACTTTGCACATTATTACCCATTAGTAACAACTTCTAAGTAACTCGACGTAGCAATGATTTCTGCCTCGTTAAAACCCTTGGAGAAGAACCTCCTTGCCTTCCAAAATCTTCACCAAGGAAAAGAGTACAGAATCATCACCTAAGTTACCTAGTCATTGTTACTGGGTTCTTCATTCTTCAAGATAGAGATGTTGAAGATGTGAGCTCCAGCCTCCTGGTGATCGCTGTCCTCTGTGGCAATGAGTGCGTGAGCCTCCTTAGCCATCTCTCTAGCTCTGGAACGAGTGATCCTGCCAGCTACTTCTGGTTCCTCCTCCTCTGAGCTCGTCACGATCATATCACTTAGCGTATCGAGTCGTTTCTTTAGTCCGTCAATGATTGTCTTGTTTGTGGCTTCGGCTTGTCCGTTTCCTTGCGGGTACCGCGGGGTAGAGAAACTTAGTCGGATTTTCCACTTGGCGCAAAAATCTTGGAAAATGATCGAAGTGAACTGGGTTCCGTTGTCCGTAACGATCTCGTACGGGACTCCGTGTCGGCAGATGATGAACTTCCAGACGAACTTCTTGACATCAATTCCATGGATCTCGGGGTATGCTTCGGCTTCGACCCATTTGGTGAAGTAATCCGTGACGACCAGAACATACTGCTTCTGGGTTGTAGATCGGCGAAAGGGACCGATGATGTCCATTGCCCAGCGCATGAAAGGATATGGTGCGGTCGAGGTCATCAGGAGCTCGGTAGGAAGATTGATCATCGGACCATGACGTTGGCACTTCTCGCAGCGTGCCGTATACTTCTCGCAATCAGAGAGCATAGTGGGCCAGTAATAGCCAGCTTTTTTGATCTTGAATGCCAAAGACCGAGCTCCGGAGTGATTGCCTCCTTCTCCTTCGTGAACCTTCTGCATTACTTCCATGATGTCGTTGCCGTGAACACAAGTCAAAAGTACACCGGAAGCATCCCATCTGATAAGAGTACCTTTAATGACCATATATCGAGCTGCGCGAGCCTTAAGGCGCCGAGCTGCCCATTTATCAGCAGGAACAGTTCCGTCTCCGATGTATCCCACGATTTCTAAGGTCCAATCTTCGGGTTCGTCCTCGCCTTCGGCTTCGATATCGATTGGAACGTGTTGTCCTTCAGATTCGTCTTCAGGATCGGATTCATTACCATTAAGCTCGTCCATATCGTTGTCGTGATCGGGAATGACCTCTTTGGGTTTCGTCTTCCGGGTGAGTGGTGGGGCGAGATTGGGTTGGTTTTCGTAGTCACGTCGTCATGTAATGATATTGCAGTTCGGAGCGGGCTCGATACTTGGTCGCTCAATTGCCGCAATTGGGATGGTTCGCCGAAGGTCAGGATCGGAATTAGTCGCGAGAGCGGCTAAGGCGTCGGCGGTTGCATTCTCATCTCGGGGTATCTTTGTAAGCTCGAAGGTAGAGAACTCCGAAGCGACATCCTTAAGGACTTTGAGGTATGCGTCTATGCGGTCGTTCTTGGCCTCGTATTCGCCGTGAAACTGGTTAGCCACGAGTTGAGAGTCGCAGTAGGCGTGTACGTTCTCGGCGCCGATGCCTTTGGCTAGTTGTAGTCCGGCAATCAATGCTTCGTACTCGGCTTCGTTGTTGGATGCTGGGAAGCCGAGACGAAACGACTGCTCGATAACTTCTCCTTCGGGTGATTTTAGACGAATTCCGACTCCGGATCCTTTATGGGACGATGAACCATCGGCGTGAAGAATCCAGGGTTGTACGACCGGCTTATCTTCGACGAGCTCCGGTGGGAGTTCGACCAAGAAATCTGCTAGGACTTGAGACTTCGTTGCTGTTCTGCCGCGGTATTCGATGTCATATTCACTGAGTTCGATAGCCCACTTAGCGAGTCGTCCGGACTGACTTGGGCTATGAAGGAAAGTACGAAGAGGGTAATTGGTTAGGACCACGATCGCGTGAGACTGGAAGTACGGGTGTAGCTTCCGTGCTGAAATGACCACGACAAAGGCGAATTTCTCCAAAGTCGGATAGCGATACTCCGATCCATCGAGGGACTTGCTTGTGTAGAAAATTGGCTTCTGTTCGCCGCGATCTTCTCGAACGAGAACACTGCTGACTGCGAATTCTGAAATCGCGATGTAAAGATAAAGTGTCTCGCCGGTTTCTGGTTTGGATAAAACTGAAGGAGTGGACAAGTATTTCTTTAGCTCGGCGAAGGCTTCCTCACACTTCTCATTCCATTCGAAATGCTTGTTACCGCGAAGAAGTTGGTAGAAAGGTAAGCACTTATCCGTCGATCTGGATATGAATCGATTAAGTGCTGCGATCCGTTCGGTAAGTCGCTGAACTTCACGTTTGGTTGTTGGTGACGGGAGCTCGAGAATAGCGGCGATCTGCTTTGGATTAGCTTCAATGCCTCGCCATGTAACAATGTATCCGAGGAACTCTCCAGATGTCACGCCGAACGTACACTTAGTTGGATTTAGCTTCATACCATACTGATCCAAGATATCAAAACATGTGCGAAGATGGCCGACATGATCGGAGGCGACGAGTGACTTTACGAGCATATCATCGATGTAAACTTCCATAGTTCGCCCGAGCTGGCTTGCGAACATCCGGTTTACCAGTCGTTGATACGTTGCTCCAGCATTTTTCAGGCCAAAGGGCATGACCTTGTAGCAGTAGATGCCACGATCCGTGATGAACGATGTCTTCTCCCGATCTTGCGGGTGCATTAGAATCTGATTGTACCCAGAGAACGCGTCCATAAACGAGAGTAGTTCGTTCCCGGCAGTTGCTTCCACGAGGCGATCGATATGAGGCAACGGAAAGCTATATTTCGGACACGCCTTATTGAGGTCGGTAAAGTTGACGCAGATCCTCCATTTACCATTCTTCTTCTTTACGACCACGGGGTTTGCTAACCAATCAGGGTATTTGACTTCGGTGATGGATCCGGCTTTGAGTAAATGCTCGACCTCATCGTTCACGGCTTGTGCTTTCTCTGGTCCGAGCTTTCGGCGTTTCTGCTTGATTGGCTTATACGTTGGATCAATGTTGAGCTCGTGACACGCGATATGTGGATCAATCCCGGGCATATCTTCTGCCGACCTAGCGAAGGTCGATGAATGCTGTTTCAGAAAGTGAATGAGTGGCTCGCGGATGACTGGGTCGAGCTCGGCGTCGATTCCGACTTGACATTCTGGCCTTAGTTCGTCGATGCAAACTTGAACGATCGACTCTTGTTTAGGTTTTGTATTCTGGACGATGAGCTTGTCAGTCGGTCCTAACGAGCTAATAACACAGGCTTGGTTGGCCGAATGATATCTGCACTCGTTTATGTAGCATGATCGAGCAACGGCTTGGTTTCCTCGGAGAGTGTAAACACCGTCGGGAGTCGGGAACTTTAGGCATTGATGGTACGTCGAGGCGACTGCTTTCATTGCGTGTAGCCAAGGTGTTCCGAGAATAGCGTTGTAGATCGCCGGTTTATCGAGGATAAGGAACTGGATAATCTTTGCGACTCCGCCGACGTAGATTGGAATGTTGACCATGCCGACCGTCATACAACGTTCTCCATCGAATCCGGTAAGTGGTTCGATAAACGGTTCAATCCTATCTGATGCCAACTCGAGTTGGTCAAGTGCTTCCTTGAAGATAACGTTAACCGAGCTGCCCGTATCGACCAGAATGCGGCTAACTTTGACGTCATCGAGGAGCAGCTCGACAACGAGAGCGTCGTTATGTGGTTTATGCAGCCCGATTGTATCGGCCTCGGTAAATACCAAGGGCGTTCCCTTCGGCGGATCATGCGGGGCTTTGGGCGCGCTGGCGGCCTGTCTGCTGTACTCTTTGATGGCTCGGACCGAATAACTGCAAGCTTCGATGGCCCCCATTATCATGTTGACGCGTTTCCGCGCCTTAGGAGCGTGATTCTCTGGTGCTCGGTCATCACGATTCCGTTTCTGTTGCTCGGGCAAAACAGGTGGATTCGGTGGTGGCGGTGGTAGTGTCGGTAAAGCCGGTGGAGTTGGTGGATCTTTGGCGAGTGCTTTCTCAAGCTGTTCATTGTTTGGTCGAGGCATATGTGAACGACGGAGATCGTCAATTGAAAGTTGCCCGCCGCTCTTAGACACGTTCGAACGTCGGAGATCATCGACCGAGATTGGTTCCTTTCGATATAGGCCGAGTAGGTATTCTCGCAGATGTCTGCATTCTTTGGTGCTGTGGCCTCTACGGTTATGGAACTCGCAGAACAATGATTCGTCTTGATCTTCTTCGCCACGGACCCACTTATTGTTCCATTGTTTGTTCGGTTGTTGGATTGCATTAGCATAGAACTTCTTGCGATTCTCATACCCTCGACCGTATCCTGATTGCGGCTCATTAGTTGCGGTTTTTGGACGTTTGGGTTGCTTTGTTGAATAACTCTGCTCGTAAGCGGCTTCTTCTTCCTCTTCGGCAATGTAGGTATTAGCTCGGTGCAACGCGTCTTCTAATGTCTGTGGAGGGTTATGAGTGATCGCGCTCCGGAAGCTAGTCTTTATCCAAGCTCCTTTCTGAAGACATAAGAGAGCGGCTTCGTCGCTAATCGTACAATTGGCGACGATCGTCTTGAAGCGCTTGATGAAATCACGGAGGCTCTCGCTTGGTCCTTGGGCTATTTGCCAGAGCTCGGAGTTCTTGGTGTTCTGTCCAATGAACATGGAGAAGTGTTTGACGAAAGCCGTCGTTAATTCCTTGTAGTTGTCGATTGAATTGGCTTCGAGTCGCGAGAACCAGTCGAGGGCTACTCCTCCCAGACTTTCCACAAACAGTTGGCACTGAACCGCGTCTCTTTCTTCGGCGGACTTGAATTGGTATCGGTTCATGCAGATGCCGAACGATGTCAAAAAGTGTCGGGGGTCAGAGTTACCTTCGTAGATTTTTATCTTTAGTTTCTCCATGTGCTTGACCGGCGTCCCTGCTACGCGCGGTGTGAAGGGTGTCTTCTGCGTCTCCTGAATGACGCGCTCGATTTCCGGAGCCGCGCTCGTGGCTTGGTGTATTTTTGAGGTGATATCGTGAAGCTGTGCCTTCATTGCTTCAAACTCGGCGTCTCGGCTTAAATCCGACGCTGGTGCATTCGCTGACCCGACTGCGGCAGACCTCATAGTTCCGGATGGATCTCCGTCAGTATTAAGATCGTCTATGATGTTCCGAACTCGAAGAGGAGTTCGTGCTTGACTGAGCTCGGCGATCTGTGCCGCCATCTGACTGAAGCGCTCCTCGCTTCTTTTGTTGATGGCCTCAAACTGAGCATTGAACACTTGGAGCAGTAGTTCGGTTCCATAACCTCCTACGGCTGCGGGGGTTTGGCCGGCTACAGTTCCAGTGCTTTCTCCAGGAGTTCCTCCTCCTTGTTCTGTTGGGGCGTTAGCGTTGTCTCCACCGAGAGGGTTTCCTTCTTCGTGAATGTTGGCTTGGTCTGCCATCGCTGATTCAATCTTTCCGAAGTCCAATCTAAAACTTGAGAAATCTGTTTAAGGCCCCCTACCTGGCGCGCCAATTGTTGATATGCAAATATCGACCAGGGACAAAACAGTACTTTTAGATCGGAAACTCGGTTTTTATTGGATTGAATCAAGCAAAATACAACTGAGTTCGGTTATTCAGATAAATAATAGCGAACTAAGACTTAAGACGACTAAGAAACTAGCGTATTGAGCTCTCAGTCTTTAAGTCTTCTTGGGAATATCTTGTGTTCTCTGGTGTCGATTCATCTCCCTTTACATATATCTCCTAAGTCGGTCCTCGAGCACGCCTTAGACGATATGGGACCGAGAGGAGTTTCCTTTTCTCTCGGTTCCTTTCCTTTTCTCTCCAAAGTTTCCTTTTTTCCATCAGGAAACTTTCCTGTTTTGACCGAGCTCAGGGAAACCCTCTATTCCTTCGAGAGGTTTCTCACCGACCTTGGCCTAATGGGCCGTATTCGACCAGCCTCCGCTCGGCCCATCTTTTCTCGGTACGTTCCTTCGTAAACCGGGCTTATGGTTTGCCGATCTCGGTTTGTACCGGAGAAAACCGGGGTGCGGTTTTCACCTCCAACAAAAGGGCTGTTTAAGTGGTGGAGATAAAGTGTTTTGGGTTACCTGGTGAATATGGAGGATGTAAGATATTATGCAAAACCGCAAGAGAGATAAGGACCTGTTGATGACCGCAATTTTCAGTCACTTCTTCTTGCCAGATGTTGTTTCCTAATCCTTCTTCCTTTGTATGTGAACAATTATTCCCCCAGACTTAGATACTTTCTGGGAATCAGAAAAATGATCAAATATAAAATTATGAAAATCTTAATTTGTATGTTTTTACAAAGATTTGAATTACTTTATATATTAATCTTGATAATGGAAAGAAATACATTAAAATTTTAAATTTTTTTACTTATGTTTAACAATTCTCAAAACATGTAGTACATGTATATAGGTTTTCAAAAGGAATGATTTTGAAATGTAGACAGTTTTAAAACTGTACTTACCATAACTTAACTTTGTCTTTAAATAGTAGTTAGAGTATTAAAACTATAATAAAAATAATTGTGATGTATTTTTTTTGCTATTCTAGATTCTAAAAGTTTTATAGACTTGCGACTCCACAAATTAGTCACAAAATAGTTGCACTTTATGACAATTTTGAGACTATTTTGATGTTAATTGATTTCACAGTCACAAAACAGTAGCAAATGACCCACAATTTTGCGACCATATTAGATGTTCTGAAAAATTTGGTGAAATTTTACGCGGCAATTTTCCCACCATTTTTTTTTATTTGCAACCAATAATTGCGACTCTTTTGGAACTTCTTCGTTATTCACAATGTCTAATTAAAATCCTTTCTCTATCTTTTCCGCTTCTGGACACACCGAAACCTCTTTCAATCTCCTCTCTTAACCCTTTTCTTTTAATCTCCGAAAATTTCCTTCCTCAACCTTAATCTTCCCTTCTCTTCCAATTCATCTCTTAATTTTCTTCTCTTCTCTATCAATTCTGTTTGTAACTTCTAACTAATGCCTAGGGGAAAGTAGGTACAGGTCGGGCGCTAAAACCAGCGCTGATGGCCGATTAAGCTCAGGTGGGAGATCAAATGGTGGTGTTGGCTCCTCTTTTCACGCGTCCAACCGGTCGTCTGATGCGACGGCATCCGTTTTGCAGCCATCAAGACCAACTCTTCCATCACAATATCCTTCAACCACACAGCCGCAATTCTCTAATCCACAGCCTCAACTCTCTAATCCACAGCCGCAATTCTCTAATTCCCAGCCACAACCCAGCAACAAACGCTGCCGGTTCTGATACCCCAGTAAACAGCCGCTGGTTCTGATTCCCCAGTAACAACCGCCGCGGGTTTATGTTCCCCAACAACAACCGCCACCGGTTCAGATGCAAGAGCAGCAACCTCCTCATCCTAATGATCCGTTGCTGCCACAACCGGACTACCAACGAATGTTAGATGATTTTTTGGCTCTCCCTGGCCGAGAACATCTACCCATCTTGAGTCCACAGCCTCTTCCCGACGTTCAGAACACATGGTTAGTGATTTTGTGATTGCAATAGATGCTAATTCATTTGCTTATTGTTTGAAAGTCTCCTGTTTTCATAACTCTCATAACTTTCAAACTAATTGTCCTTATATTCATTATATACATAACACTTAATCAAGCTAATTTGAAGATCTTTATAATACTTTTTAAATGATACTCGCTATGTCTGAGTTATATTTATGTTGTGGATAATAATCAGCGGTATCTTTGTCCTTGTTTGTTTGTGAATTTTCATTACTTAGTTCTTGGTTTCTTTTAGTCTTGGTTTGTTTTTGTCGCAGCCATGGCGTTTGCATTAGTGTTTTTGTCTCAAAGAGGAGACAACAACACGGTCATCCCTGCACAATAATACAGTGGGCTTGAGGAACAGATCTGTTCAGGAACATTCTCTAGATCCGGTAAAATCACATGTTATCTGCATCCACATATATATCTGCATAACATAAAATGATATTACACTTCACATAATGATTAAACTGTTTTCGTATCATGATTAAATTGTTTTTGTATCATCATAGGAGGAAGAAACAGGGTGTCCTGTCACGCTTGGAAAAGTGTTTAGGAAAACACATAGAAGGGCAGATGGAACTTTCGTTGATCAAAAGGCAACAAGGGTAGCTGAGACTTCTGAGAGGAACTTAGAAGAGATAGTAACTCAAATGGATGAAGATGGTCGAGAAACTTCGGAGAATTCATCTGAACAATCAAATCATCAGACCCTACAAGAAAAGAATGAGGTATTTCTTAAGGTAATTTCGGTTTTGTCTACCTCTTCTTAGCATATTAATGTCTTTGTTTTGCACAGCAAGAATACTTGATGTTGATTGTTTTAGTTTTGATCTTACATTCTCTTGTTTTGGTCTGTTTTTTAAAGTTTAGCTTTCGTTGTTTTTTTGTTCTTGTTCGTTTGCTCTCATCTGATTTTTGCTGAGGTCTTCTGTTGGTCTGATTTTTCAACTGAAGTCTCTCTGTTTCAGTATTTGGAAATTAACGATTTTCATTTTGCATTGGATCTTTTCTTTTTTTGAGTTTTGAACTTGATTCTGGCCAATTCAGATTTATGCAGTCCCTCTTTTGTTTGGAAATGTTTCGTTTTTAAGATGTTTAATTAGTAGTTTGGTTTTCACTCTTCTTACTATCTTAGTTCGATATGTTTGCTTTCTGGTCATTTTTCAGTTTCTCTTTTTTTTTTATGCGTTTGTTTGGATGAAACAAATGTAAGTTATAATACGAGTTGATTGATTCTAGTGAATTTGTTTTTGTTGTTGACTTAGTCTGCTGAAACAGATGACAATAGACACCCTTACGGACTTGGCGAACTTGGAGAGATATTCACCAAGGGGAAAAAAAGAAAAGAGAGTTATGCAAGCTCGTCCTCATATCCCTATATTTTACATCATTTAGAGTGCATTTTAGAGTCCTCATCATGTGTTTTCCCATGTAAATTGAGTCTTTAGGCATGAAAATAGGATTTAGGGCTTGCATTAGGTCCCAAAGAGTTTTGCATGTTTTGAGGTCTTTATCAGGTGCTTTGGGAGTCATTTGGAGCTTAAGAAGAGGAGCAGAGAAGAAGACGGTGAAGAAAACGGTCAAAAATGGTGAAAACCGCTTGGAGGAATTTCTCGGCCAAATCGCGTACCGGACGGACAGAAACCTCGGTCAAAATCCTTACCGATCGCTCATTACCGGCCAAAATCCTTACCGATCGTCCAACCTCGACCAAAAAGCTTACCGATCGTTCAGCACCGACCAAAGTCCGTACCGATCGACCAAAGTCAGCCTGGGTCGAAGATCAGGCGTTAATACCGCGGGTCGAGTTTTGGCCGAGGCGAAAGAATTTTTACGACCAAAAAGCTCACCGCGGTACACAGCCCTCGGTCATTTTTCTTACCGCGGGAAGCTTTTCTCGACCAAAATCTGTCCTTGTCTGCGCAATTCAAAGATCAGAAATCCGGGGAACCTTCCGGTCCGAATCAGTTGGCGGGGTCTTCAGCAAAGTTGGAGATAATAAAACAAAGATCCCAGAACAGTTAGAATCATCCAATTCGGACCAGTAGGGAGAAAGATACAGCTTCCGGAAGATACATCAACATTACGCGCATCCGAGAACTGAACGGCGAAGTACAAAGGTCACGGCGGACGGAGCCTTTCTGGACCAAATCAGCTTACCCGGTCTTCATCAAAGTTTGAGATCTGTGAAAGACCTTTTCAGAACAGTAGGGATCGCTCAACTCGGACGAGTGGTTTGAAAGATAAAGTCTCCGGAGTTCACATCGGTCCGAACAGCTTATTTTCCGGTGATTTCGATGCGGTTCAAAGATGTGAAGTCCAGGAAGACTTCCACTACCCAAGCTCCGACGGTTTCTTCACCAAAGTTCGAGTTTATTGAGTCACCTTAACTATGAAACTGGTCTCAGAGCATTCGAAAGTTACTGCCGCCGGAAGGCGACATGGTCGATACGGGCCCAAATATGTTGCGATACGCGCTAAGTGTTTCTTCAGAGCTCGGCATCATTACCTCGACATCGGCCAAGTCGAGGCTCATATTTTGGAAGTATCCTGAGCTAGGCCTTGTACAGATACCTCGGCACGTTGGGATCAAGGCATGCACACGTAAGAAAGGAGCTGGAAACGACTAAGTGTTGAACATGCACCTCGGTGTAGCGACCTCGGCGTGCATGCCGGACCCTGTTCTCCCGAGCCCCTCGACGTCCAAGCGCCTCAGCATTTTATCCCGAGGTCCATTGTCACAAGTGCAGAATCAAGAACAAAGCTGCTCAAAAACACACACGTGAAGATGGATCAAAGACTAGGGTTCATGCATGTTCTTGACGTGTTCTTCACGAGATCTTCATTTGGATCTGGACTCATGTGCGCTCCTCGACATGAAGACCTCGGCTTCACTCTCCGACACACCGTGGCACTCACCCATCAGCCCAAGAACGCGGTTCAGTACCCGGTTTGTTCCGGGCTGACCCGCGACACTTTACCTTTGCTATATATACATTTTGAGACTAAAAACCTAAGAATCTTATCTCTTATCTGTTTTTAGCTTTAAGAACTTGCCTCTTTGGTAAAACTTGATTATTCTAATCTGATATCTCGTTTTTGCATCAGAAATCTTGTTCTTTCTTTATTTTCTTTTGTCATCTATCATTAAACTCCTCATCATGACTAGCTACACGCCTTGCAAAAGACTTAATGAGCTCGTTATGATTAGTGAGTAGTCGTTTAAGCGGCTTTAGATGAGTAGATTAGGGTGCTTTCAAGGTAGATTAGTGGGTTTAGGTGTCTAGTCTTGCATGTTTCATTCCTTAACCGACGAGATCTCTAGGCTGGATCCAAGCACATCACTTGAGGTTCAGATCTGAGACATATCTTGCATCAAAAGTGTTTGTAGAAATGTTTGAACCACTCGGTTATGGGTTTAAGAGTCTTTCATCGCGAGAGTGATAGTTTGTTCTCTTAAATGACATTTTTGAACTGACTCTTATTGCTGATTGATTCGATGCTTCTCAAAAGACATTTTTGGTATGAAGGAGAATCAGTTTAGATGCTTAATACTTTCATGAGAAGATTAACATGCCTTGAGTTCAAAGTTAAATGAAACCGCTTGATGTTTTGATTCATTAACCAACTAGTTGAACTTGGAAGCACCCGAATCAAGTATCTCGTCTAAAGTCCCTTGCTTTATTACATATTATCATCATCTGAATCGTTTAGCTATTATTTGCATCCTGTCTCTGTTTAGATCTAATCATTTGATTTACCTTTCATGCTTAGTCGTTTGTCACTTAGCTTAGTTCGAAACCTTCACCTTTTGTCTTGACTTAAATGAACAAACATCATAGTCTAGTGTCTCGTTGACTTGTCTGGATTGATACCTCTTTGTGCTACTTCGACAAAGGGGATTGATAGCCCTGAGACCTAAAATCTCTTAACTATCAATTGGCGCCGTTGCCAACTTGTCGGAGCATTAGTCTTTTGTTTGTTCTTGAGTTCAAGATTTTACCTTTCTTTGTTTTACTCACTTCTTTGCAAGTTCTTGTGTTGCTTTCAGGTGCATGAAAACCAGGTCTCGGAGCACAGAACCGCCTCTACCGTACGACGACAACATCAACAAGATTGAGAGGCGAGCTCGCGAGAGGGAACGGCATTTTGAACGACTTGGAATGGCAGAACAGCAAAGGATCGAGCAACAGGCTCACGAAGCCGAACACCAGGCTCATGCTAATCAGGCGCAGGCAGGCAGGAATGAACAACAAGCTTATGTTAACCAACAACATGCTCAGAGGAACGAAAGGCTTGCTCAGCAAAACCAACAACAAGCTAATAGAAACGAGCAACAAGCCCACCATGTTCATCCGCCACCGCCACAAGCTCAGAGACAACCTCCTCCGGTCTTTGTTGGAGAGAACGACCGAGCTAATGCGCACCAATACCGAGCTGGGATTCAAGCTCCACCGGTTCAAAACAACAACTTTGAAGTTAAAGCTTCCCTACTCAACATGGTGCAGAACTCAAAGTTCCACGGTCTAGCCGGAGAAGACCCTCTTGAGCATCTAGATCAGTTTGATCGGGTTTGCGACCTAACTAAGATCAATGGTGTCTCGGAAGATAGCTTCAAGCTACGCTTGTTCCCATTCAGCCTCGGTGATAAAGCTCACCAGTGGGAAAAGAACCTCCCGAGGGGTTCTATACAAACCTGGGAGCAGTGTAAACTAGCGTTCTTATCAAAGTTCTTTTCCACATCACGCACGGCTAAGCTCAGAAACCAAATCTCAAGCTTCACACAGCACAACAACGAGAGCTTTAGCGAAGCTTGGGAACGGTTTAGAAGCTATACTAACCAATGCCCACACCACGGCTTCTCAGAGGCATCCCTCTTGAGTACTTTATACCGAGGTGCACTCCCCAAGATCAGAAACCAACTCGATACAGCTTCAAATGGAAATTTTCTTGGGAAGGAGATCAATGCGGCAATGGAACTAGTCGAGAACCTAGCCATGTCTAATGATACTTATGGCGACGACTTTGATAGAGCAAACCGTACAGAGGGCTCTGGTGAAGAACAGCGTATGAAAAAGGATATCAGAGAGCTTCAGAGCAAGCTTGACAAAGTTCTGATGGCGACTCAAAAGCCAATACACTTTGTAGGCGAGTTTGATGAGCAAGGGCCAAGTTTTGATAATGTAAACGAAGATGGTCTAACTCAAGAGGAGCTGAACTACATAGGGAACCAGCAGAGGTATCAGCGGTTCAACAACTACAACAGTAACCCAAACCTCTCATACAGAAACCCAAATGTAGCTAACCCTCACGATCAAGTCTACCCTGCTCCGCAACAACAACAAAGCTACGCTCAAAAGGCTCCTTATCAGAATACCTTCCAGCCCAAGCAACAGTTTAGTGGGCAACAGCACGGCTACACTCAACAGAATCAAGCAGCTCAGGGTAACAACTTCACCAGCCAACCGCAGCATCACAAGTTTCCACCAGGGTTCAATCCGCAGCCGATGGGTAATCAGCGACAGCATCAGGGAACGGGTCTGAATCAGATGGGAAACGACGTCTGTGGGATATTACAGCAACTGTTACAGGGTCAACAGAGAGTTGAGAGCCAGCACGCGACAATGCAGCAAGATATCAGAGAGCTTAAGCAGAATCAAGCCTCTACATCATCCCGAGGCCCGGCTTTACCAGGTAAACCGGAGCCAAACCCCAAGGAGTATGTGAACGCCATTACATTGAGAAGTGGTAAAGAACTACAAGCTCCAACGCCTAAGACTACGCTCATTGAGGCCAATGAGCAATCAGAGGGGGAGGCAGCCTCAGGTGATGCGTGTAAAGAAGCGGATTTTGAGAAAGAACCGATCAAGGACAAAGGAAAAGAGGTGGAAAAGACAACTGAGCTTGAAAAGCCATACGTTCCACCACCACCTTACCAACCCAAGATACCGTTCCCAGGGCGTTTCAAGAAGAAAATCTTAGACAAAGCCAAAGCGGTCTTTGAGAAACACTTGGAGAACACGCAACTCACCTTACCCATTATAGATGCTTTCTTAGCTATACCACAGCTCGGGAAGTTTCTAAAAGATACGATCCTCAACAAGACAAAGGAGCTCCAGGGTATGGTAATACTGAGCCATGAATGCAGCGCCATAATACAAAGGAGGTCTATACCAAGGAAGCTATCCGATCCGGGCAGCTTTACCTTACCGTGTGCTTTAGGTCACTTGAAGTTCTCAAACTGCTTGTGTGATCTAGGAGCTTCTGTGAGCTTAATGCCATACACGGTGGCGAAGAGATTGGGATACAAAAGTTACAAGCCGGCCAAGATCTCTCTTATACTAGCTGATAGATCGGTTCGCTTACCGGTGGGTTTGCTTGAGGATTTACCTTTAAGGATCGGTGAGATAGAAATCCCCACGGACTTCATAGTTCTTGAGATGGACGAGGAACCATTGGACCCTATCATCTTGGGCCGACCGTTCCTAGCGACCGCAGGAGCCATTATAGATGTGAGAGGAGGAATGATTGAACTACACATCGGTTCCGAGCATATGAAGTTCAATGTGAAAGAGATGATGAAGAAACCGACTATTGGAGGTCAGGTTTTCTATGTGGAAGTGATGGAGGAGCTAGCTGATGAGCTCCTGGAAGAGTTGAACGCAGAGGATCCGTTACAAGTGGTCCTTACACGTGAACAAAGCGAGCACGGGTACTTGAACGAGGAAAGCGAGGTGTACAAGCAACTTTTGGACCAACCGAAGGAACTTGGAGCTGAGGCTAGGTTCTTGGAGCTCAGAAAGAGTGGCCTCGACATTTTAGACAGCGAGGGGTCCATGGAAACAGAGGAGACACCTCGGGATATCATGGCCGTGGCAACTCATATCGAGGACGATGGTAATCCGCGCGAGAACAAGGAAAAGGCCGAGGAAGCTGTTCCGGGCCAATGTAGCTTTGATACCGATTGGAATGAGGCAGACGCTCCCCCTGTTGAGCTCAAGCCTCTACCAACAGGGCTCAGGTATGCGTTCTTAGGCTTGAACTCCACTTTCCC